AAAGAAGTTTATTAAATTTTAAAGATATTTGTTTAGATGGATATCATATTAAGACACTTAATACCTCTATTATCTCAAGTAGAAAATGTGTGTTGAAAAAACAATTACTTACTCTGGTCTTAGAATTAAACTATACAAATATTAAAATAATTGAAACTCATAGTAAACCAGAAGTTTACTAATGATTTTAATATTTGGCATGACCGGTTGGACCATTCCAGATCAATAATGATGCAAAAAAAATTGATTGAAAATTTATATGATCATTTATTGAAAAACAAGAAGATTTTTTAATGTAATAAATTTTATGTGCTGCTTGCTCTAAAAGTAAATAAATTATAAGGTTATTACCAGCTAAAGTTGGGATTTAATTCGCTATGTATTTGAATAATATTCAAAGTTATATATGGATTCATACATCCATCATATGAACCATTTAGATATTTTACAGTTTTAATCAATGCATCGACTAGATGGTCATATGTGTGCTTATTATCAGCTTGCAATTTGGCATCTGCAATCATTTGTTTGCAAGCACATTTTCCTAATTAAATAGTCAAGATTATTTGTCTCGATAATGCTAGTGGATTTACATCTCAAGCTTTTAATATTGCATATTAGTTGGAATAACTATTGAATAGCTTGTTGCTTATGTTTATACATAAAATGGTCTAGCAGAATTATTTATTAAACACTTCCAACTGATTGCAAAGCCATTAGTTATGAAATTCAAACTCCCAATGTCTACTTAGGGGGGTATGCTATTTCAGATGTAGCAGCATTTGTATGCATCGAGCTAAATAAATTATTATAAATTCTCGCTATACAATTAGTTTATGGTTAGAAACTAAATATTTTCCATCTAAAAAAATTTTTTTGGATGTGCTGTATATGTTTTAATTGCTCCATCACAACGCACAAAGATGGGTCTTCAAAGGAGATTATGAATATATGTTGGATACGAATCTCCATTTGTAATTAAATATCTAAAATTATCAATAAGAGATTTATTCATGATAAAGTTTATCAATTGTCATATTGATGAAACAATTTTTTCAACATTAGAGGGAGAAAAAATAAGCAGCTGCATAAAAAAAATTTTTAGAATAAATTATCATTATCTAGTTTTGATCCTCGCAAAAATCAATATGAACTTGAAGTTCAAAAGATTATTATTTTACAAAATATAGTAAATCAGTTGCCAGACGTATTTACTGACATAAAAGAATAACTAAATCTTATATACTAGTTGCAAATGCTCCTATTAGCATTGACGTCCCTGTAGGACAAGGCACACTAGAAGCATGGAGACCAATCGATTCCAAACATAAAATCTCCAAAAAAAAAGAGTAAATATTTAAGATGGTTAAAAAGAGGAAGTAAAAACTCTAGAAAAAACCTTTGACATAATTGAGAAACATTCCAGAAGAAATTTAGGTACTTGAAATCATTGAAAGTGAAAAGATTTCAATCAATTATGTCATGACAGGAAAAGATGAAACCGATAAATAAACATTGACGATATTTTGTATATAATATAGAGCTCAATATTTTGAAAGAAAAACAAAGATCTTGAACTTTTATTTATTGAAGAATGTAGACAAAGAAATGATTGGTCAATGTGGAAAGACATAATTAAGGTGAAATTGAATTTAATTGTAAAACGTAAAGTTTTTAGACTTGTAGTCCGTACATCAAATGATGAAAAATTAATAACATATAAATGGATATTTGAGCGAATATGAAACAAGAAAAATGAGATTATAAGATATAAAGCATGACTTGTTGCACAAAATTTTCTCTAAAAATCTAGTATTGAAGCTGAAGAGATATTCTCTGTGGTGGATGCAATTACAATCCTATATTAACTAATCTGGTAATATATGAGAAGATTGAAATGCGTTTAATGAATATAGCTACAGCCTATTTATATGGTTCATTTAATATCGATATCTATATGAAAATCCTTGAAGGATTTAAGTTGCTTGAAATACAAAATTTGAATTTTTGATAAATTTATTTGATCAAATTAAATAAATATATATGGATTAAAACAATCCAGACACATGTGGTATAATCACCTTAGTGTGTATTTGTGGAAAGGATGCTATAGAAATAATCTTATATACCCATGAATGTTATAAAAGGGTTTAGATATGAATTTATTATTGTCTATGTTGATGGCTTGAATATTATTGAAATTCTTAAAGAGTTATCAAAAGCCGTGGATTACTTAAAGAGAGAATTTAAGATGAAAGACCTTGAAAAAATAAAGTTTTGTTTGGATCTTCAAATTGAATACTTGACAAATGAAATTTTTGTCCATCAATCAAATTATATAGTAAAAGTGCTAAAACAATTTTATATGGACAAAGCATATCCATTGAGTTCACCAATGGCTGTAAGGTCACTAAATGTAAAAAAAAAACCCTTTTTTCAACCTTGTGAGGATGATGAACAACTTTTTGATCCTGAAGTACCATATCTTACTGCAATTTGAGTATTAATGTATCTTGCTAGCAATATAAGACTTGATATGTAATTTTTGTGAATTTATTAGCAAGATATAGTTCTTCTCCAACTCAAAGACATTGAAATTGAATTAAACATATGCTTCGATATCTTCAAGGAACAATGGATATAGGCTTTCAAATGCATCAAAATCGAATTCAATTACTTATGCAGATGCAAAATATTCATTTGATCCACACAAAGCTCGATCCTAGACAGATTACTTGTTCACATATGAAGAAATTTTAGCAACTCGTGAGCAAATTGTGAATGTGTCTAGTTAAAATCTGTAACTCGATATATTCGAGAAATGTGTGGCTTGTCAACTAAGAAGGAAATTCCAACAACGTTATATGAGGATAATATTACTTGCATAGCACAACTAAAAGAAGGATATATTAAAAGCAATCGAACAAAACACATCATTCGTCAAAATCCTTCTTCACTCATGGTTTCCAAGAAAATGGTAAAATAAGTGTTCAACAAATTCAGCTAAGTGACAAGCTAGCAGATTTGTTCAATAAAGCCCTTTTTATTATAATATTTGAAAAGTTAGAATGCATCATTTTAAAGATCTCTATAATGCAGTCATCAAGAGAATAAAATACGCATTGTACTCTTTTCTTTCGTCAAGGTTTTTCCCATTGGGTTTTTCTTGATAAGGTTTTTGATGAGATAGTATTTTATAAGCGTATTCTTGAAAAGAATTATGTATTCTTTTTCTTTCACTTGGATTCTTTTCTTATAAAGTTTTTTCCTTATAAGGTTTTAATGAGGCATATTCTTAATAAAATGGATATTCAAGGGAGAGTATTATGAATATTTTATGAATATCCATTCATATTATCTATATCTAGATTTGATGTAAATCATATTAGATTAAGATATAATCTATCTAATCTCTATGTGTTATCTTCATCTTGTAAAGAGATTACTTGTCTATAAATAGGCTCTCTTAGTTCATTTATATACACACTTTAATAAAATTTCTTCTTTCTCTTTAAATACTTTTTTCTTTAAGTATTTTTTTAAATTATCTTTATTTGTTCTTATAAAGTTATTTTTATAACAAGAACAAATTTGATAATTTCATAAGAAGTAGACGAGGCAACCAACAAGAAATTAAAAACATTGCTTGCGGTTACCGACCCGATATCCAAACCCGGTGTTTGGTTTCAATTTGTTTGCTATCGGCTTCTTGCTTAAAACCCTAAGCCATTGATAAACAAAAGGAATCTAAATACAAAGAGAGGAAAAAAAAAAAACACGTTTCAAATGGCAATGAGATCAGCACTGAGTCGATTCAACAGTGCGACACGGTATCGATCAATGGAATCAACTCGTGGTGCGATTCGGTACTTGAGCGATGATAAGGGTCGGATCCTGAGCGAGGAGGAACGAGCTAAGGAGAACGTTTACATCCAGGTTTCATTTTTATTTATGCCCGGTTCTGTTTGATTCCTGGTAAAGCTAGCATAGGAAAATGAAAGAAATTGATACAGGAAGTGATCAGAGTTGGAATTGAGTCGATCCTGTAACTAAATATCGGATTCTTTCCCAAAGGTTTTCTTCCTTCTTTAAAACCCGTATATTGCCAACATGACTCTTGGTTTGTTAATACTGAAATCTTCAGTACTGGCTCTGTACATATTTCACTAGACAGTTTAAGATCAAACTGTTTTCATGGCCTCCCTTTCTACGGTGCTATTTTTGTTTGCTATCAAAATATCAGTCCTAAAACAATACTGTTGCTTTATATGTATGATAATATGTTCCTTTTACTTGTTCTTTTGGTTCTGGAGTTCCCCTTTTCTTCATTGGTAGGTGAAATGATGTAAAACGACATATCAGGGAGGTAAGTTTCAGCCTTAGGCTATTCGGGATCATTTATTGATTGATCGAGATAGAAAATGTTGATTCAGAGTTCAGTATTCATAAGCTAAAGGAAACGAGTCATTTGAATCTATAATTCGCTATGTTTTGAATCGTACAAACTATCAATTTTAAGCACAATACTTCATTTGTAGATAATTTTATTCTTGCATTCACTCTCGAATTGAAAGAACTCCATTTGCATTTCATTTCAAACACACCATAAGACAGCATGGTTTATGAGGTTCTTTTCTTTCTCTTTTTCCCTAAAGCCAAATAAGTATTATGGAGGTTCGTATTTTCCTATGGTGACTTTTTTTTTTCTGTTAGTTTCGGAGACTAAAATAGCTGCTTAGGTTTTTATGTTCCTTTTATGACTTAGTCTGTGTGATTAGCATGTTTATTTCCGTGCATAGTTTTCAGTTTATGTTCCGTAAGTTCTGTTTATTGATTTTGACTTTTTGTATCAAGAAAATGGAGAGGGAGAGGCTGGAGAAAAAGAAGAAGGCTGAGAAGGAGAAGGCAGAGAAAGAGAAAGAGGGTTCTCAGAAGGTATGACTGAGTAAGGTTCCTTGTTTTTATGTGTTTTAACTTAAATGATTGTTTAATTTCAATATGGAATTCATCGGATGATGATTTCATTCTTTCAACCCTAAAAGTTTCAAAAGAAAAAGAAAAGAGAAAAGGAGTGAGAAGAGAGTTGATGATGTAGAAATCAGTAGTTTCTAACGACTAGCGGCTAAAGGATAAATTGTGTAGGAAATTTTATATTATTTTTTAGGGTTATAACTATTAATCCATTGTTTACAAGTTCAACGTTGATTATTAGGCCCATGAATCAAGTCCAAATTACTAGGGCTAAGTTTACAAGTAATATGCAAAACATTACATGATAATACACATATTTTAGTATCTCCCTTACCTCAAGATTTGAATCTAAATATTTAGAGGTTTGAGAACTAAATAACAAAAATGAGTAGCTGCATGAAATTTTGAAAATAGATATCTTAGTTCTAATTTGAAAGTCATATGTGATAACATGATAGTGCCACGACGTTGCTTGTTTTTTATGAAGTGATAATCTACTATTTCATTGTGTTTGGTCTGTGCATGGAAGATGTTGTATGAGCAGCTTACAATTCACTCTTATTTTTACAAAAGATAGAAAATGATTAGGTGTGTTAACACCCAATTATATCCTTGAGTAATCAACACGACACATGATTTCTATAGTGATTAGGTGAATGCAAAGATTTTCTTACTGATGCACCTTGCACCAATTTGGATTATGCCATATAATTCTGTTTTTGTTCCCTTTTTTTTTTTCTTGTCTCATTTTTTCTTTTGCAGTTTCAATTGCCAACATGTTTCCTTTTTATTGCAGGCCACTGAAGAGGCTCACAAGGGTTGACTGGATAATCTGTAGTACATTATGACCTCTTTGCTTTGAAAGTGATAATGACGAGTAATGCAAATAAATGTTGTGACGCTTGACTCTTGATGAGATTGCTTCTTGTACAGGGTGTGACTCTTTCTGATATCTAATCTCCAAGCTAGTAGCAGATAATCTTATTTTATGTGGTTGTTAATCAGTCGAGATGCCTTTTTATTTACTTGAAATAAAATTGGTTTGTCACTCATGCTGCTGCTGGTGGATTTGTTGTAATCTTCTTTTTGCCTCACGTGTTGATAATTACGATGAAAATGCTGCTAATAGTTTGAATATAGCAGTTCATGTTTTCGGTAATTGGCATTTTATTTTATCTTCTTATTACATTTTAAAATTAAAATGGGGGGAAGAACAGAAAGTTTTCTCCTACTTTAGCTCTAAGGTTTTGCATGTTCACAACTTTAGTAAATGGAAACTCTTATTGAAACTGCTTTTGGCTTTGAATTTGATATGCACCAAATATAGCTAGAATGCCCTTTGGATGTGGATATGAAGCAGGTTTTTTTTTTTTTTTAAATTGGGAGAAAAAAGATTCAAATCTTAGTCTTCAAATAGGAAATCATGCATCAATCAATGAATCAATTGCTCGAGTGCGTGGAAGCGGTTGCCCTCGATACATTGTTTGAAAGTTGAGAGGGTAATAATGGTTGGAGGGAAATGCACGGTTCTCATTAGAAACTAGAAACCCAAATGGGGTAACCTTATGCAGATTTATAAGTTGAATTTGTAAGTAGGTCTCTATGTTAAAATACTTATTTGTATAAAACTTGTAAATGGTACTTACATTTTGTTGTATGAACATTAAAACTTGTAATTACAGTAGTGTTTTATGTATGTTATATATACATCAAACTATGTACCTTCACTTAATTGTAAAGAGTTAATAAATATTCGTACATCATACTGATTCATGTACATCACTACACTAAAATTAGTAACTCCACTTAATTGTACAACGTTTGTTAATGGTATGTACATCGTTGCATAGAATTTGAAATTTCACTTAATTGTATAAGGCTTGTGAATAGCTTTGACATTCTATTTTCAAGGGTACATGCATTATATTGCATTTAGACATAAAATTTATAAAAACTCTCAACTATTTAAGAAAATTTAAATAAATTTTTATTTTTTATTACATTTAATCAAGTTTTATATTTTTATTTTAGATCAAATAAGTTTTTGAAAATAACGGTTGATTAACTATTATTAATGAAAACATCACTTATCTTACTTATATAACGTGATGCTGATGTAATATATTGATATGTTATGAACATGTAATATTTTTACTTTTCATATTAATATGATGACAGTGTCACGTAAAAATTAAATAACAAGTATCGTTTTAATTAAGGATAATTATTCAATAGTTAGATATATTTGATAAAAAAAAGGTATAGAAGTTTAATTGAAAGTAATATAAGAATTAAAACTCATTTAGATATTCTTAAATAATTCAAGAATTTTTAAAAGAATTATACTTTTTTCTCTTATATATATATATAAATATGAGAAAATGTACCTTGTCTTAATTATAAATAGATAATTAAGAAGTTTTTGTATATTATATTTCAATTGATGTTTGCGTTATTCTAATTGTGGAGACATGGGTTACCATTGGTATAGGAAATAGAAGCGAGAAGGTGGGTTGGGTTGGGGGCGGTTGGTATCACCCATTTCTACATTTCTGTGAAAATGCTATCAACAATTCAACCCTCCCGTTGTCTGTCTCGCTTTCCAGCCCATTTACGTACCAGCGGCCGCACCAAAGCTCGCTCTCTGCACGTCTTCTCTTCCGCTCAACCCGTCACCACAGTCCCACACCAATCACAAATCCTGTCCATCCGCGACTCCCTCGTCTCCCGCCACCTCAGCGCAGTCCAAGTGGCCGACTCCTACCTGGGCCGCTTGAAACAGACGGAGCCCCAAATTGGGTCTTTCCTCCACCTATCCGAGCCGGACAAGGTGCTGAAACAGGCGCAGGAGATTGATGACAAGATAAAGAGGAATGAGGAAGTGGGTCCCCTTGCTGGGGTCCTTGTGGCTGTCAAGGACAACATTTGTACGGCGGATATGCCTTCCACCGGTGGCTCGCACATCCTGGACGGGTACCGTCCGCCGTTCGATGCCACAGCCGTCAAGAGGTTGAAGGACTTGGGAGCCATTGTGGTTGGCAAGACCAACTTGGACGAGTTTGGCATGGGGAGTAGTACTGAAGCTTCTGCTTTTAAGGTTTGGAATTTTCTGCTAGTTAAAATCCTACTGCTACCTCGAATCGATCGCTTTATTTACTTAGGTGATGGTCTTTCATTAGGTGACAGCAAACCCGTGGGATCTCTCTCGGGTGCCAGGAGGATCATCCGGAGGCTCAGCTGCAGCTGTTTCTGCCAGGCAATGCGTTGTATCACTTGGGAGTGATACCGGTGGAAGTGTGAGGCAGCCAGCGTCATTTTGCGGGGTAGTTGGTTTGAAGCCAACTTATGGCCGGGTCTCGAGATTTGGGCTTATGGCATATGCATCATCCCTTGATGTCATTGGATGTTTTGGTTCATCCGTTGCTGACACCGGGATTCTTCTTCATGCAATTTCTGGTCACGATGCACTTGATGCAACTAGCAGTAAACGGGTTAAGTACTCTTTGAATTTTAGACCTCACTGCTATGCCAAAGATATTTTCTTTGCATAGGTGCCAATGATTATCTCTCATGCTTCACTGCCAAACGATATGTTTTTTATTTTAACCATCTGTCAATTTTTTGAAGACTCTGAAAGTTACCTGTATGTATATAGTTATTCAGGAACTAACTTGTTATGCATACGTTATTCATTCGTGAAGCTGCTTAGGAGTTAGTCCAGTTCAGTATTACCATCTATGGTTTAAGCAATTTAAGCAATTGCATCCTGCTGTCAACTATAATGCGCCATTTTTCTGTATTTTCTGAAGCAAAAGTCCTTATGATGTATTTGAAAGGTTAATGTGATTAATTTTGGATGAGTTAAGGTTATTTATTTGCGTGATTGTCCTGTTTATCTTTTCTAATTATATTCTCTCTTAAACCCTAATCTAAGGGCTTAATTGTTCTCTTTACCTTCTTGCTTACTTTTCTTCCCAATTCTGTGTTCACATCCCATATTGTCTCTGGCCCTTATCTTTGAATCACGTGAATGATGGAACTATTGATTAGAATCTTAGACTTTGAATGGCGCTTCTGCTACTTTATAGCTATCCTGTCTATTTTGAGTCAACCACATGTAAGCATTATTCCTTGTTGGTTTATTGTAAAATTTATGTCCTAATTGTGTAAGAGTTACTAATTTCAGGAGGTGCCTGATTTCACTTCTCAATTCCTTTCAGCAAGTTCTTTGAAATCCAGACCATTGGAGGGGCTAAGGGTTGGTCTTATCTGTGAAACTGTTGATGGTGGTGTTGATTCTGGAGTTAAATCTGCAATACAGGGTGCTGCAGCCCATCTGGAACAATTAGGAAGTATTGTGACAGAGGTCTAATTTAATACTGCCATGTCCCTTTTTGCGGAATCCCATGCATATCGATTTTATGTATTCATTTGATTTTTTTTTTTGTGATATTATTGCAGGTGTCATTGCCATCCTTCTCTCTTGGCTTACCAGCTTACTATATTCTTGCATCATCAGAATCATCTTCAAACTTATCACGTTATGATGGTGTCAGGTGAAATGCTAAGAACTATTCAATTTTCAAGCATATATGCAGATATACAAAAGCTAGTTTGCAATTAATAACTATTCCTTTTTACTATATTTCAACATGATTGCAAGAGTGAGGTTTGGGAAAATTCTTTCCTTTTGGCCAAAAAAAAAAGAGTGAGGTTCGGGAGGGGAGAGGGAGGAGTGAAGAGGGAGATTCCAGGAAGCAGCATGTAAATTTGAGAAGGAAGTCTGCAAAAATTATTTTTAAGCTCACCTGATAAAAGTTTCTTGTATTTCCTGTTTCCGTGTTTTACAACAAACCTAGGTATGGAAACCAAGCTTCTTGTGATGAGCTAAATGCACTTTATGAAGATTCCAGAGCTAAAGGATTCGGGTCAGAGGTCTGTCTCTGAATTAACTGTTAAGAAACTTGGCTTATTGTTATGTGAGAGTTGTAACAGTCAGGAATGTTGAAACAATTACATTTTCATTTTTGCAGGTTAAAATGAGAATATTAATGGGAACATATGCACTTTCAGCTGGCTACTATGATGCATATTACAAGCGTGCCCAGCAGGTATCATAGCTATTGTAGTAAATACTTCTTTATGTTGAATGTCTTATGGATCTTAACCTGATGAAGATGGATAACTAGCTGGGAATAGCCCTATATTTGCATTCTCATGGAATGCAATGTGTCACCTTAAAGTCAAAATATTCTGACCACCAAAATTCTTAGTACAGAACCATGAAACCTCTTTTTGATGTTTAAATTAATTTTTAGGATTAAGTAATTTTTTGCTCATGGCTATCAAAATAGCGATATTATAAATCTCAAAGTTAGTTAATAGTCTCTAACAATCTTTTGGTTTTTCATTGGTATTTCCAAGTAAATGATTTTGTGCTTTTGCAATTTATGTATGAGGGTTAATTACATATTTGATACTCAAACTATAGTCAAAACTCAAGTGTTTGATTTGGAAACTTAAGTCAAAATGTGCAATATGGTATACGAACTTTGCTTCCTTTCACCATTTGCACATTCAGCTAACCAAGTTTGAGAAAGTTGGTACCTTAAGTCTAAAAATGTACAATATGTGAACTTTGCTTTCATTTACCAGATTGCACATTCTGCTGATTGAGTTTGACAGTGTGATGTGTCCCCAATATCCAACCCCATGTGATGATGTGGCAATGCTACACACACTTTCTACCAATTAACAATTTCCAATCTGGTAAGCGGAATCAAAGTTTGAGAATTACATTGCACTTATTTAACTTTAAATACCAACATTTGGCTACAGTACAGGTATCAAATACGTAATTAACCCTATTTATAATTTTGAATAGTCATGTCTTTTAGTTTGTCTTTATAGTTGTTATATGCTGAAACTCATGATTCTTTCTGGAGCTTTTATGCTATTAAAGAAGACATTTATGATTATAATAGTGTTTTAGGTAAGGACCATAATTCAGAAAAGCTTCAAGACAGCATTGGGTGAAAATGACATCCTGATTTCACCTGCAGCTCCGTCTGCTGCTTATAAGATTGGTATGGCCTTGTTCATTTTCTTGTTTTCTTGTTTAATCTCTCTTTTGTTCCTTCTTTGTGCATGTGGGAGGGA